ATGGTATTTTTATATAAGTATTGCCAAGGAAATCTAAGTTAAATATAAATTATATTAAGACTTCCTGGCTTTCTTTATACACGTAATAGTCATAATTTATTCGGTTTGCAAAATTTTGTAAATTTTGCTGCAATAAAATAAATTTTAAATATAAAACTTATTCTTATAATGATAAGCAATTAATTAATTCTATTTAAAATTATACAATTAAAATGTATTATCATAAATGAATTCTATCTTTAGGGTTTAATTAATATTCAATGAGGTTAAATTCTTGTTATTATAAAGGGAATTTTCTAATGCGATTACTCCTTCATTATTAATATTATTATTACTAGGATCAAAGGAAATCAAAATGATATTTTTAGAAAAGAGCTTCTGCTAGCACTTTTACCGCTTTATTACTAATATCATTATAACCAATATTTAACGAGGTTAAAGAGATATTTTTACAAAGGGTATGTTATCGTTATTTATTTAATCAAAAAATTTGTTACTATCAAATATAGGTTATAATTTTTCTTTTTTCCTGAGTCATATTAAAAAATAAATTATTACCACGATTTTACTCATAAACACAGAAATTAATGAATCTAAAAAATAATGATAGGTTCTATTTCAATAATAACAAATAATAATTTGAATACGAGGAAGTTTTCGAGCTTAAATTTTAATATTTCTGAAGAATTTCGAAATTTTCAGAAACGTGTAAGTCAACTAAGCCGATAAATGGTCAATAAGGCTCACTATTTTTGGAACATATATTTCGATCATTTTTTTTAGGTCAATTCTTTTCTTTTCAAAAATTTTAAATACCAAACATTTCTTACATGTCTCAATTACATATACCAAAATTTACAAGGAAATTTTTTTATTAGTGTGCATAAGGTTGTATCTTAGACTAAATTTTGAGTTATGAGCGATTTTTATGTTTTGGGTTACACCTAATTTTGAAATTTTGATGGCGTATTCTACCTTAATAATTTCACTGTACTATCAAATGTACCAATTTAAAAACGATAGACTAAAATTACACAAAGATAATTTTCAAAATGGGAGTAAAATTCTTCGAAAAGCTTTCAAATGATTATTTTGAACTTCTAGAAGATAAAGAAGATTTTAATGTCATTATCAATGTCGGAAAATCACCAGACGACAAGATATTCTCAAATATTTTAAAATATAGATCTTTATATTTTCGGGAAGAACTAGCAAACTATTCAACAAGTTGAAATAATTATTAAGTAAGCTATATTTTCTAGGACTAGTAAAATTGGACTTTTAAATTTACGCATTACGGGATAGGGATTTAAATAAAGGGACCAAATCTTACAAATCTTAGAAATAATTATAAGTTATATTACAATTTTGAGAACTAATTTAAATATTTTTTAAACTTACAAATTTAATAAAGATACATCTACGGAGGAATGGCCTTATTAGGAAATCAAGACAATCAAGACGCATCATTTATTTTTGAACTTATACTTGTTTCTCACGAGTTTCTTCTTAATGAATTAGCCAAACACCTTGAAACTATGTTAATTGAAGAAAATGCACACTGGCTCCGTTTACATTTTACGAGTTTTCATAAATTTTCCAAAATGAAAAGCTTCAAGAATTACAAAAATGGGGCAATAATATTGTTTCCAAGTACCCAGATAAGGTTTTTGAGTCAGAAGAGTTCACCTCTCTTCCAGAAAATGTATTAATTTCACTCATTAAACGAGATGATTTACAAATGGAAGAAGGGAAAATTTGGGAATATGTCATCTGATGGGGAATTGCTCAAAACACAAATTTACAATCCGATCCTGAAGATTGGTCTCGAGAAAATTTTATAGCCTTAAAGACAACTTTACAAAATTGTTTGCCTCACGTCCGCTATTTTCAAAATGTCTAATGAAGATATTGTTGATAAAGTGAGGCCATATAAAAAAATTCTTGAAAAAAATTTTTGGGAAGATATATCTAAAAGATTTATTATTCCAAATAGACAAATAACATCAGTAATTCTACCGCCCCATAAGATTTTAATACCAACATTACCACCTAGGGTAATTGAACCATTTCCTTCAACAGTTATCAATGAAGCACATGCAGCAGAAATTGCAGCATGGGTTGATAAAAAAACTGAAATATATTCAGCAACAAATAATCCATATGATTTTAAATTACTTCTTCGTGGACTAGAGATGGTTTCACCACTAATACATTTTGGAATTGATGTGGCGGGAAAGGAAACATTATTGTGGTTCTGAAAGTTAAAGATTCTGACGAAATTCTTGGTGGTTATAATCCTGTTGGTTGGGATAAGCTTAAACATAGCAACTGGACTCATTGCAATGATAGCTTTATTTTTTATTGAAAAATAATACTATTCAATCTTCCATTTTAAGTCGTATAAAATATCCACAATTTTCAATTTATAGCAATAAGAGTTGGGGTCCATGTTTTGGTGGTGTTGGTTCTGGTTGTGATATATGCGTAGTAAATAATTGCAATCAAGATAAACGATGTTTTTACCAAATTAATTCATATGAAAAAAGCCATAAGTGGTCGCTCTTACTTTTCAGTGTCTGAATATGAAATATTCCTAATTCAGAAAAAGTAGACTAATCAAGTTGTTTATTTAAATGATAGCTTTCTAGAACCGCAATAGCTCAGTTCTTTTAACCATTGAAAAATTTATAAATGAATTCAATAAACAAATTATATGAAATAAAATTTTGTAAAATTACCCCTTTGAATATTCCATATTTTTATCAAGAAAAGCCATAATCAGACAGATAATACAAATTTCATATTTTCTGATTTCTGTAGAGATTACCGTACAGCGCTGCAGACAGTACCCCCTGGAAAAGTACCCCTTTGAATAGTATCGGGGTACTATTCAATTGTAAATTTTGACATTTATCATCGTTAGTGACGGAAATGCATTAGCCGAAGCTGTTTGTCAGAATAATGCTTTGGTTTCATTGAATCTTCATAATAATCAACTTGAAAAAAAAACAGCACTAACAATGATAAATAGACTTGATTCGAACACGAATTAATGCACTCATTGGGTCTTTCACTTAATGGACTCTGATATTAACTTTCACTAAAAGAAATTTTAAAAAGCAAAAAAAAAAAAAAAGGTAAAATTGGTAAAACATTCTAAACCAGTAAAGCGTAATAAAACTGGTAAAAGGTTGTATAATTAATAAAAAGTGATAAAACTGGTGAAAAAAGCAGGTGATGCTTGCTTATTATATATTTCCAAAACATATCAGTAGTAATTTTAATTTTTTTTTTTTTTTTTTTTATACCTACGTTGCTATTTCGGCTGCATATGCTTCTATAATAACTGTTAAAAACAATTCCAGCATACATGTTGGCAGATCTACTCAACGAAAAAAAACATATGAAATTAATAAACCGGAAACTTCTGAGTTGTTCTAAGTCCAATTATGATCACTAGCGATGAAAGGTAATATAAAATACATCTATCAACGATGAAAGAAGCGCCATCAGAATAGAAAATACGCAGACAAACGTCGAAAAAAAACAATAACAATAGAAAATACATCACCAACGACGGAATAAGCACCATCAGCGACAAAAGGAACATTACCAGTTATAAAAGATACTGACCACCGACGAAAAAGCACCACAGACATTACGGCTAAAGAAGAACATCAGCTACGAAAAAGACTCTAGTTTTTAGATGACACTAACGACGAAAAGTGCACTACCAGCGCCAAAAAGATACACCGAATTGGACAACACCAACGACGAAAAAAGCACAGAATAGCGATAATCTGAATTCTGTTGCCCATAAAAAATATTACTATTATAGCACCTAAAAATATATATGTATCAAAAAAAATAAATAAGTAAACTACCTAATTTGTATAACCGGCCGGTGAACTACTCACCTTTTGCTGCCTAATTAAATTGGTTTTTATAAAATTTTACTAAAATATACTAGGTTTTTCTAAACCCAATTCTAACTATTAGCTTTAATTTTACATATAATTTAGAAGAAAATTACTATTTATCGCCACTGGTCATCAGAATTTTGTGTATAACATGTACGATAAACCAAAAAAAAAAAAATCAATTTCATATACTTTAGGGTTAGGACGAGGTTATCTGGGCAGCAAGAAATTTTTTTTGTTAGCGTTAGCGGTCAGTGGACATGTCCAATGATCTGCATATCCTTATTAGTTGAAAATTAATTCGTATCAATATTAATTTTATTGCCCTTAATAAATAAAACAAAAGTTATAATGAATCCTAATGCGAATTATTCTTTAACTCATTTTTATATGACTCTTATGTTAGTTATAGACAAATATTCAATATAAGTGTCCATTCTCACTTAGTTACATATTTCTTAGTTTATGTAATAAATCTGAATAAACACTTGAGATGCTTTAAAAGCCTGTGAGATGGGTAGTGGTTTTTTTTATTTTATCGAATAAAATCGGCTTTCAAGAATCAAAAGTTCTTAAAATATTTATTTAATATGTTAAATTTGTTTATAAAGCATAATGAAAGAAACGGTTTGTCTTTTAAATTGAACTTTATTCGCTAGCAGAACTCACGTGGCACTGTATTACATAATGTAAACTAAAAAATTGTAAAGATACAAACTGCAAGATTTTCGTCTAAAAAAAGATCGTTCGTGAGTATAAATAAAATTATAAATATATTTATTCGTAAGATTTTTCCTTCACATTATATTCTTAAATATGTTAGCATTAGAAGTGATTTGAATCTAACTTCTTGTTCACATCTTTATAATATCGCTTAAATATTTGCAATTCTTTAGCTGTGGATTATCAAAGTTGTTATAATAATTTGTCATCATAATTTAATAGTCTAGTCATAATAACAATTAATGCTCAAAATAATTTTCTTTAAAATAGATCACAAGGTTTATGCTATGCAATTGCTTTAATATTAGCTGAACGGGCTATTCTAGTTATCTATTTTGTTATGTTGAACTTCCCTTAAAACATATCGGTTAAGCAATCGTCAATCACATCAAAAGATTCTCCATTTACTTGTTGCTGCTCATTGGACTTTTGAAAGAACATCTAATTAATGGAACAACTCTGATTAGTGGATAAATACGTTTATTCATCGATCGCTTCTTCTCTAAATTTTTACACATTATTTAAACAATATATCCTAGTTACACTCATGGCTAATACCTCTGATGAATCGGTAATGGTTTTAGATTGGAGTAGGAATATTATAAGGTTTATTAAAAATATAATTTTATTTAAATATTTACAGTAAACTCGATTTTGGGCTATCTTATTAGTTCAGAGCACCACGAATTGGTACTCATTTAATATGTAGTAAATAACTTTATCCTCGAAAGGGATTTAATAGTGGTTAATGTAAGTAATTTTAAATGGAATCGGTTTAGATAGAAAGTTGCTTTCTTGTTATTAATTAATTAATTACATACGTACCTACTCGATTCAATAAAAAAATTTTTTTTAGTACTGGACTATTTGCTTCATTACATGTTGAATGTGCAGATTTCAATTTACTTTTTTGCAGTTTTAAATGGTAGATTTACAATTGTATATTCTAACACAAATCATTATATGACAACCCAGCTATCCAACCAATTTATTGCGAAGGCAAGATTATCTACCTTATTATTGGGTCAAAATCAGACAACAACCAGAAATAAAATGTCTGCTCCTATTATGACATTTATTGCTCTGTAAACTACATTTACATTGGTCATACACATGCCAGTACAATGAAATTCGATTTCTCAATATCAATGTTACTTATTCTAATATAACCATCACAACTGCTAATGCAATTATATTTAATACCAATGGCCGCCTAAAAAGTAATTTATATTAAATTACGTTTTTTTTCTACTGGATCTGTAATAACAATATTCAATGTTTCTTTCAATACTACAGAAATAAGAGCACTTGGTAGATACGCATTTGGTAGATACGCATTATTATCAATTCATTTAGTATTTACGGTTCTTATTATGAATATAAACTAGAGTTATAAACACAAATTCAGAAATAACGATAAAGTAATATAAGACCTACCTATTGTATGGGGCATTCCGTTACATACTCTTGCATATCGGGATAATCTAGGTCTGAATTGTTTTTATGTACTGGTACTTTATTGTCTTGAGAATTTTGAGGGTTTGTTGGTTTTATTTTAATTTTCTTTGATATATTTTCTTTTTGCTTTTTGATAGGACAAATTACAACATTGTGAGCTCTACGCCCAGTAGTTGTCTTTATCTCCGATTTCTCAATATCTTGTCAGTATATATCGTAAATCCTATTTTGACCTATCTCATAGCAAGTAAATAACTTATTAAATCCGTCCTCATAATTTTGACTAGTGCTTTGGAAAAGTTCATGTTTTGTTGGTTCTGGAGCCAAAAAAGCGTCTAAAAGAGAATCTGAAAGTTTCCATAAAGCTGACTTTCGTGATTGCAAAATACGATTACTGGTAGTAAATGATTTTTCACCCACATATTCATCTAAAAGTATTGTTAAACGCTCTCGTTCAGATTGTACTGATGCGATTTGCAATTTCAATTCATCATCTGTTTTTAATGCTTTTCCAATATTTTGTTTTACGTACATTACACCAAACCTTTCCAATGCCTCATCGAAGGCAAAATAATGGCCAGGTCTAGTTATATTAACAGATGGCACCTTACTTAATAAAATACTTAACGATCTATCTTGATTCAAATAACTAAGAAAAAAGGTAACAGACTGCGCGTAGTTGCTATGTCCCGCAACTAGAAAAAGAGGGACAAATGCTTTCAAGTTTTCAATTTGCATTTTCCAATTACCATGTCTAATACTCATTTTATGCCCTACCCAGTATCCCGCCCAACAAAAAAATAGGTACCAGACCTTTACTATATTGTTATTACCTGACATAATATCATGTATAGTTATATTACAGTTTTTAATATATTTTTGAATAGCAATTCCTACCCCAGCTCACAATAACATTACTACTCGTGACGCAGCCTGATAATCCACTACTTTTTCGAACTTATCAAAATAACATACCCCAAGAATCGATGCTAAGTTAAAAATCCCATACCCTGAAAATATTGAAATAAGTGTTATACACATGTTTTTACTAGTGTGCCAACCGCCCAATAAAAAACTGAACTCTGGACGTGTTTCTTTCAAAGAGACCAAACGTCTATAAATTGCTTTATCAGCAGCTAGGTAAATTTTTTCATTAAAATTGACGCCAATATCATCTATATACATATATGCAGCATTATGTACATCTTCGGTTTTGTTTGGATTATCACCTGGTCGTAAAATTACAATATTTGGTGTAGGAAGGCGACAGTCTGATTGAATTTCATTTTCATATTCTCGTACAATATCCTGTATATCAAAATCTGAATTTTCATTAATCAAAGTATTAAACATATTAGTGCAACGCGATAATTCATTTTCTAAATATATAGAGGTTCCAACCCTAAAATTTGTATCAATGTCAATGTCAACAATATTTTCAGAAACTATTTCCGATAAGGGTTTTGGAAATTTAAATTGAATAATTATTCGTATAATACAATGCATAGTTTTTCTTGTAGCATCGAATATATTATCATATGTAAAAGTTTTTTCCTTCAAATCTACATTATCCATAATACATATGTTTAATATATTTTCCCCCCTCCATAATTTGTGACAAGGATCTACATCCTTTTGCCTCATTTTTGTTAACCGCCTTTCATGTCTGGAGGTATGTGACACTACGTTCGCTGTGCATAAAACAGTATATAATGATGATTGATAATGTGGTTTTTGACATAGCGAACTTAAGATATGTGTTAGCCATATATTCACACTAGGAAATGTTATGGTTAATAAAACCGAGATTAAAAATAATGAGATCTTCTCGCCCCTTGTTGAATCATATTCAGTTACTATAATTCTACGTTGTTGCTGTTTTTTATGTACAGTAATCCATTTTTGATATTGTATATAGTCGAGCATACTATTGAAAAATTGTCTGATAGTTAAGGGAAAACCATGTTTATACTCTTGAAGTGACAATGGATTTTCTAAATAATGAATATTTTCTTTAACATTCCGTTTTGACTTCCATATTAAACGCCCAAGTGCCTTGCCAAACTGTTCAGGATGTTTTTCAATCATTAGGCTAACTTGTTCTTGATTACTAAGTTTGTTTATATTTATATTTTGAAACCGTAATATAATTTTTAACTACATCTCACTTGGTGGTTCATCCTCATCTTGTTTAATATCTGTCTGATTAGATGAATCGGGTTTGAATGTATTAATAAGTGCTTTTGTTATTTCATGTAATAATTTGTTTTTTATATCATTGTTGGCTGTATTTGCTACATTAAGAATCCACTTTCCTATTAATTCTAAAGATTTTGAATTGTCTTCAGTATGATTCTCAATACATGACTTAGGTTGATTGTTTTTTCCTCTTCCTCAGCGCTGATAAAAATGTCCACCTTCTTTCATAAAACATTCAGAGCAAATAAAGCGACATCGCGTATTATTTGTAGCCTTTTTTGATAATAATTTACTATTAAATATGGTGTAACTTTTTAAACCCATACATGGTAAGCGAATATTTCTCTCAAGTGTAGTGCATGAATGTTTTTCACATCTTCCACCTCTGCTAAAAAAGTATTTAATGACATTACAAAAAAGACAACGACGTTTGTGAATTAATGATTTTTTAATTAGCGTATATTTACTTGTACCACGTTCATGTAAGCCGTCTTGGTCAAAATTAAAGTGAGAACGACATACACTAAGAGTTTCTAATAGGTTTATCTGGTTTTGCTTGAACATAGGATCAACAGTTTGGAAATCTAATTCCCAGATACCTGATAATTGTTTTAATGGACGAAATCTTGGGTTTACACATCGTTGTATCTTTCCTTCATTAATGTCCAATACAATACATTGATTTGAATTTTCACTTGTTTCCTCATGATTAGTAATTTCTATATCCAATTCTTGCTCATTGTCAAAATCTACTAAAGACCCAGCTTCAGATGTAAAATCCGTCTCAGAATCAAGCCAATTAATGTTAATTTCTTCGAGATTATTATCGTTGATTGATCTTGAATCTGCATAAGCTTTAATAAAATTTGACATTGCATTTATAAAAGTAAAGTCCTCATGATTATCAACATTACTAGCTTTTATCGTATTTGTAGTATTTGAATTGCAAGAAATTTCAGAGTAACTATCATCTAAAATAGCATATTCGTAATCTGGATCAATATATGCATCATTTTCCCCTTCCAAAAACCTTGAAAACTCTTTATTCTCTGCTATAAATGAATTCATCGCAGGAACACGGTTCAAATTATTTATTATTATAATTTTTTTTTTTTCTTTTATTTATTTGTTGCTTATTTATCTTTTTTTTTTTTTTTTTTTTATTTTTTTTTTTTTTTTTACTTTAGATGGTAAGAATTTAATTGATACTGTATAGAGATTGTGTTTTAAAGTCTGGCTTAACTGACCATTTATAAAAGTTACACATTGATTATATAAGTAGGTAATTCATAAGATAATATCGGTATTAAGAATAAATTCTTATACCTAACAACAGTTATAAAATCTTGAACGATATTAACAAGTAATGTTGATTAAAGAGTTGGCGTAAAATAAATGCATGCATAACAGATAAGACATCAAGTACGTACATGCATTCATTAAAATACCAAATACCAACATTGCTACATAAGTTGCGCCCCAATGGTTTTAATTTGTATGGAGCAAACACTTAAGACATCCATATTTATATTATATTGTTGGGGTTTAAATTGCATCTACTCGAAAAAAAAAGGTTGTAAAAAATGTGTAATTGATAGAATCTATTAAGCTACGTATCGGAATTCATTTATATGTAACGATACTCTTTTCAACAAAGCATTTCTTAAAAACTTTTAGCACTACCAGTTAAAAGTAAAAAAAATGTTTATAAAATTTGACCTTTTATAAATAATTAGCGTTCAGGTAAAATTTTTAGCTTTTTGCTATGACGATATTCGTCATGGTCATAATCACCTGATTTTTACTTTTTACAGGGGTTTACATGTTCAAAGTTTGTGCGAAGATGGATTAAAACCCAAAGTTCAAAACATTACATAATTCTGAATATTACAATTTACATATTCTAAAAAATAAATTTATTTAAAAAATAATTAATAATATTAAGTAGTATTATAATTTTCAATATGAAGAAAAAAATTATTGCCTTGAATTATATAGTAAAATTGCTACGAAGATCATTTTTTTCTACTATTGATATACAGTTGCCCCTTACAGGGGTGGACATGTCCGCTGATCGTTAGTACATTGAGCTTTTTTAAAAAATTGATTTACACGTTACACCTGATCCTACAAATTTATTGGCTAATTTCATACTAGTGAATAGCAAACTCAAAAATTACAGGGGTACAATCGTTTATCGTTATCTTTTTTTTAAAAAAAATTTTGAGTTATCTGTAGGCATGCAACCTAGTGTTAAAATATAGTATCTTGTTAGTGGTAAATTTAAAAAAAAAATTTTTTTTAAACAAAAAGATTGTATCCTGATATTTCAACCGCAAGGCACACCCAGGCGTCCTACCCCGGCGAGGATTTAGGTGGGCGATGTCGGCCAGACTCGAACTTGGGGCTACTTGCAGTAAACCCCCCGCCCTGACCGTTAATCCACATCAGGATACTTATTAAAGATTTAATTTACAACCTCCTTAAAATTCATTATTTGTTTACCAACTTGTCCAATTAAATTTCATCTTTTCAAATACAAAATGTTCACGGTCCTGTGATCATCTGCATTGTTTTTATTGGCTGGAGCCCGTGACAATGTATCAGACACGTGATAATCGTTATTCTTCCTAAAAAAAAAAATACACGAATATACTGATATATAAAATTTGAGCACACTATATTGTATACTTAGATTACATATTTATAAGTAGAAAAATCATTACCGATCTAGAACTTGTAAATTTAAATTTAATTTATTTAAAAATTGTACAATTCGTAAACGTGCTAAAAATTTTGTCAAATTGTATTTTTTTTAAAATTATAATACTGTCTACAATAAGCATGATCTGATGCATGATAAAAGTTATGCTAAAGTTATTATTGCGAGGATTACTCTAAATGAGCTCAAACAGATGTGAAACAGGAATTAGATATTTAAGGTTTAATTATAAAGTTGGAATTGACAATACTTTTTTCTTTTGATACTTAACTCTGTTTTGACTTTTTCATATTGTGATATCTTCATAGTTTTGAATAGCAAGTAATATAACAAGCAAAAGAAAAGTAAAATAATATAATACATAAATATATATAAACTAAATTTACAAATCTCAAAAATAAACTTTTACTAAATTTTTAAAAATTAGTTTTAGTAAAAAATAGCTAAACTTTTAGTAATATTATATCACTTAATAGTAATGATAATATACTTTTTAACTACTAAATTTTTTAATAATATTAGTAAGTTTTAGTAATTATTTTTTTTTTTCTTTTGATAGTCATGTTATAAACTTTATTAAGTTGTTAACTAGAACTATAGCCAAGTTATATTTGATTAAAAAGAAATCTATCTAATTTACAAGCTTGACATCACCTGGCTGCTTCTAGAGTACTTAGGTATAACCTGTTATACTAGCTAGATAGCTAAAACAATTGGTCTAACTAATTTAAAGAAAACTTCACTAACTTAAACTACTCTTCTTAATTTTCTTTTTAAATACATCTTCTACTAAAACTATTATCTACTCTTTTTTCCTTCCTCCTTCTCTTTTCTTTTCTGCTAATAACCTCTTTCTCTCTTCATCTTTTCAAGTTCTTATTTTTGGTTTTATTTTCTTTCTTTTGCTCTCTTTTGACTTAGCTATAATCCCTTCTTTCTTTTTTTAAAGAATTATCTTTTTACATTGCTAATTCTATATAATATCTGAAAAGCCTCTTTGGGTTATAAAGAAGATACTATTAAGCCAGATACTCATAGTATTTTTTTTCTGTATTAGCAATTTTATATCTTTGGCTATTTTCTTTTCTTCTAAACTAGTTATGAGTTCTTTCCTTCTTTAGTATTAACTTTCTTTGTCTTTTAAGAAAACAATCTCTTTAATTTTTGATAGCAAAACTAAGCTATTGTTTTTTTCTATTAAAAGCTTGTTAATACCTTTTATAACTGCTTCCTTTATTTGTTCTCATGAGTTTTGTAAAAGTGAGTATTTGAGCAGATGATTAAAGTTTTTAGAGATTTCTTTTTTATATAGGATGCAGTCATCATTTTTATAAAGATCTGGTTTTTGCTTCTTGAGTTTGCTAAATATTGGAAGGCAATTCATCAAACATTTAATCTATAAAATAAGATATCTACTGTCTTTTATTAAAAGGCAATTTATTTCTCTTTGTTTTTTTAATCTTTTGCTATAGCTTTTTCCAGTTATATTTTGAACTCTCATTTAGCTTATTATTTTTATGATATGTCCACTCTGCATCATTAAGACTTTTTATTAACTTAGTAATAAATTTCTTAATAGAATACTTAATTCTACTTAATTTCTATGCTATATTATAGCTAAAGTTTTCACTTTTAATTCTATTAAGGTTTAGAACTACATATGACTTTTTGCTTTTTTTTGCTAGTTGATCTGTTTCATTGTTCCATTTGTTGCTAGCATAGCTTTTGATCTTTTTGAGCTTTAGATCAATATCTTTCTGTTTGACAAGTGATGCAATCTTCTTTAGGATTATTCTATTATCTATTCTGATCTACTTGCTATATTGCTCAGTCTTGTAAGCTTTTAGTATACTATCTATTGTTTGTTTGCTATCTATAAGAACTCTAACTATAGTATTACATTGTACTACTAATAAAACTATTCAAATTCCTACTATCTCTGCTTTAGTTGATATCAGCTAGTTAACAACTTTTAAGATTCTTATACTAATTATACTATCTTTTATCTGATCTATTCCTATCTATCCTACTTCTATATTTCCTTTATTCTTGCCTAAAGATCCATCTGTGTAAAAATCTATTACTTTCTTTTTTCTTGATGTATCTTTTTTGCTTTTCTCTTTAGTACTGTTGCTAGACTCACATTAAAGTTTTGTGCTTCTATTATTTCAAGTTTATACTTTTCAATTATCTTTAAACCTGCAAAAAGCTATTTATTTACTTTTGTTTTTTGATAATCTCTACTTTTAGCTATTAATTTTAATGTAAAATCTACTAATTCTATTTTTCTGTTTACATAGTTTTTTGAAATTACTCCTAGAATCTTTCTTTTTAGTTACCAAATTCTACACTCTTTATATATTTTTTTCTTTATTGTTTGAATAGCCCTCATATTTTCTTATTACTTCTTGTATTTCAGAATTTTTTTGGTTTTTCTAATGTTCTATAAGAATACTACTTTTCTTTTTCTTTTGTACTCTTCCTATTTTTCTATTTTTGCTATGCATATCTTCATAGATAATCTATTCACATTTTTTTTTGTCTGATGAAATTTCTTTAAGCAGATTCTGCATTCCTAAGTTGTTTTCTATATCTGTTTTGAACTTATCTTTAACTTCTTTGCTTTCTTTGCTAATTAGTATCTTTTTCTCAATTTCTTTAAACTAGGAAGCCTTTTTACCTTTCTTTAACTTCTTTTTAGAGATTTTAAGCTGTTGCTATATTAATAGATATGATCTTTCAAAATCTAATATTTGTTCTAGTACATATATATCAAGATTACTAAGAACCTTAGCAGCTTTAATAAAGGTTTCTATTTTAATTAGGTTTTTAATTAGTATTCTACTTGAATCTACTACCTATTCTCTTTAGTTAGCTATTATTTCTAGACTTATATTTAAGTTTTCTTGAATAATCTGACCTACAAGATTATTTTTGAGTAGTTTCTTCTCGTTATCTTTTAGCTTTTTAGTTCAAATACTATTTAAACAGCATGTAATTTGTTGACCTTGCCTTATTCATATCTCTGTGATATCTTTAACCTCACAGTTCTTGTTAAGTCTGTTTATTAGACTTAGTATTTGCTTTGTTTTTAGTAAATTCTATAATGATTATATATCTAGTATTCTACTATATGTTATTACAAAGTTCAGAAGTGTTCTTGTTAAACCTAATTTGTTTTTAGCAATTATCATATATAGTTGCTAAATCTTTTCATATTTTTCTTTAGTCAAGAAAGTATTTTGCAAAATATACTCTAATTTTGGTATTAGATATATATTATTGATGTAAAGTACTTGATTTGAAGAGACTATCTTTTTCTTAATCATG